ACAGGGGTGAGGGAACCTGTTTAGGAAATGGGGCTGCTGACTGGAGGTGGTGTAACAGGGTCCTTACCTCACAGCTCTCTGTAGGTAAGCTCTAGTACCATCCTTCTGTTCCCTTCAAATCTCCTGAAGTCAGAAAATGCCTCTGGCATCATTATTTTCTCTAGCTACTACTTACACACTTGTCAGCCAATTTCAGATTGCAGCGTTAATTATGGTGACATTATAATATTAAAATATTGTCTTCCTTCCCCAATTGCTTGCTAATATTGACTGTTTCCTCGACTACTTCATTGGTAAAGCTTTTTGCATAAACTTAATTTAATATTCACTATTTTAATCTTTGAACTTTTATCACTTGTTCTGGCCATAGCAGATTCAGCTGCTGGCCCTGTATAACTAAATGGCACAAGAGAAGTAGCAGCCTCTACATTCACTGGGTGAGTCTAGAAAATTGGCTTTATCGTCTGGGTGCTAAGAAACACGGGGAATAGAGAGAACGGATCATCACCAATAGTGTATCAGGAAGAGTTTATCTGAGCATTCAGCTATCCATACATTGGGAATCACCAGACCACAGATAGTTCAGTACTCTGCCAAGGGGGAAAGAGGGTTTTCTTAGTCACATTCTCATCACTTGGACTCAACACACCCACAGAGGTTTACTTTGGCTCATGCTTATAGCCCACAGTTAGCAGGCTCAAGGCAGGAGGTCATGGTGGAAGGCTTTGGCAGGGAAAAGCTGTTCAATTCATGGCATCCAGGAAGCCAAAAGAGTCTGAGGAGGCGCTGGGAGCTGTTCCCTTCCGGGTCACACCCACAGTGACTTACTTCTTCTGGCCAGACCCCACCTCCTAATAGCAAGTCAGCTATAATGCCTCTCATAATCCAACAATCTTCCAAACACAGGAGGCTTTGGTGTTATTTTAGATTTAAACCATAACAAGAAAGAACTACTAGGAGGTGTTTGTGGAAAGAAGACAGAAAATATTTGGTTTTTTAAAGTGGAAAGTCCTCAGTTAAGGGGTTAGTTGGCAGTTTCTGATTAGTAGCCTCTACATAGAAGTTAGTTGGTGGTTTCTGATTGGTTAAGCTTATGTTTACATTGGGTTTTACTTTTCTCACATAAGAATCCAAGGCACTGAACCATCTAAATTTAACAGCCTCCCAAATAATAATTTTAACTATTGTATGGACAGAATTTACTATGCTACAGTGTATCCTAAGATGCTTGTGTCAGCCTATGCCCTGGAGAAGAAGACAGCAAGATCAAGATCAAGGTGCAAGAAATGGATTAGAGGAAATGTATCTGGGAAAGAAAATTGTGAAGGAGCCTAAAGAGGCTCAGAGAGTCATCAAATAGATGCAAAACTGACCTTTTGGTCTGAATAGATTATGTTTCTCAGTCCAAAAGTTTCAAACCTCTTCTTCCAACAATATTGGGCTCCTAAGTCCATCCTACATAAATTATCTGTTGCAGCCAGTCACTGTATTTCTTTTCCATGTGGGAGTCCTGAGGGATCTGGCCATATACACTTCCCCCAGATCACCTGAGGACCTGTGCAGTTATCATCCAGTTAGATCTGCTCCCTTCCTAGACTCTAGTCATGGCCCTCTCCGCATATTTTGACTCAGATATTCCTTACACTGTATAACACTGCAGCATTCTTATTCTTTTGAAGCCATGGGATGCATTGTTAGAGTGTTTCAGGGGGTGGGGTGGAGAATGAAGGGTTTCGAGGACAGAAACCATCAGACTGGCCATGGTGGTGCAGATCTGTAATCCTAGCAGTTGGAAGGCTGAGGCAGGAGGATCATCATGAGTTTGAGGCCAGCCTAGACTACCTAGCCAGACACTGTAAAAAAAAAAAAAAAAAAAAAAAAAAAAGACGTGAGCAGAGTTGTACATTTTTGATGATTACTCTGGCAGAAATGATCAGGATAACCTGAGGTTCAGGTGGAACCAGAGAGAGAAAGAAAGGAGGATAAATGATACTAAGGAATTGGAACCATCAAAACCTTCTGCCTGGGTATGGAGGCAGGGAAGGAGAGTCTCACAAATATATATATATAGATAGATAGATAGATAGGTAGATAGATAGATATACAGTATGTCTCACAAATTTCAAATCTGAGCAATTATTTTTAAAATTTAATTTTTATTTTATCTTTTTATTTTTTTGGTACTGGAGATTGAACTCAAGACCTTACATTTGCAAGGCAGGTGGGCTGCCACTGAGCTAAGTCCCCAGCTCTTCTGAGCAATTATTGATACTGGAGCTTGAGGGTTGCCATTTACTAAATTGGGGATGATAGGCAGAATAATATTTTTTTAACTTACTGAACTCAGTTTTGAGCATACTGAGTTTAAGAGAGATATCCAATAATCATTCTAGTAAACAGATGTAGAAGTCAGCAGAATCTGGCCTAGTGATCCCTCTTGTGTCTGGGACTATTTGTAGAGCATTCCCAGTCTCTGCTTATGTGACTGGTCAAAGCTCACACACTTTTTCAGCTGAATTGTCTATATACCATCTTTCTTTTTCTTTTTCTTCTTTTGGTTTTTGAGACAGAGTCTCATTGCGTAGTTCAGGCTGTTCTATGTAGCCAAGGCTGGCCTCAAATTTCTGGTGATCCTCCTGCCTCCTGAGAGATGGGATTATAGGTATAAGACACCAAGCTGTCTTATACCAAGCTGGGTATTAGCCCAGCTGTCTTGCTTTCTTGCTATACATTCTTCAAAATATAGCTTGCTTGCTGCTGTAACTTTGATAACTATTTTTCTCTTTCCATACTGCTCTTTGGATATCCACATCTAAGACCTTATTTAGGGTTTTCTGTATTGGTCACATGCTGAAGCATGCCTGAAAAATAGAAAGTTTTTTTTTTTCCTATTCCCTTTGGTACGAGTCAATTCTATTTAGAATCAGAGTTCAAAAAAAGCATTAAAGTTATGAGGAAATAGGAATTAATAGAAAATGGTATAATCTGGGTATAATCTGCAGAAGACAAAACAGACTGAGTTGCTCTCATAAGAATAGTAATGTACTATGTATAATAAGCTGGATATATTGTGCTTTGCTAAGAAGGCTTTTAATGTCTTTTTATTTTTTTTTCAATAATGGGAATTAAATTCAGGCTTCTTGTATACTAGGTAAATGCTCTGCCATTGAGCCATACTCCTACTCTATGTAGTAGTTTTCAAACTTCAATTTTCAATCCAGAGGCCACTGGAGGTGAGGAAGGGTTGCTAAATATTGGGACTTCAGCTCTATCACTGCTTTCAGCCACAGCAATCTAATTTGCTTTACATAAGAAGCTTTTGCTGAAGAATTCCATGGCCTTTAAAAAAAAAGTGCTGAAGTGTGGTCCACCATTTTATGCAGAGGTTTTAAAACAGATTATGAGATGGGCAAAGGAAGAGTTAGAATGAAGAAAAGAAAGAAATCTACTGTTTTAGTTACTTTTCTCTTGTTGCTGAAACAAAATACCTGACACCTAAAGTTAAAGGAGGAAAGAATCATTTAGGCTCACAGTTTGTAGAGGTTTCAGTTCATACTTGGCTGGCTCCAAGGCAAGGTGGCATGGCAGAAGGCATCACGGAGGAGAAATAGTTCATGGCAGGCAGAAGACAGCAAAGCAAGCAAATGACTAGTAACAAGTGCAGAGAGTCTTTCTGTCCTTTATATTGTATCCAGGCTACCCACCCATGAATCAATCCCAATGTCACATACTCTAAATCCAGCCATTTCTGAAAAGCCACTTATGATTGCACAAGGCTTTGGAGGACATCTGGACACAAGCTGTAACAGCTACTTAACAATAGATTACTGCAGAAAGCTTCAGGCTCCTTTATGTACCACTAACACAATAGGATACACTTCTAGTACATTTTAATAGTTAACTTTTTTCCCCTATTGTAGCTTTTTAAAGGCAATATTGACATTTGGTTTTGCATATCCAATATTTGGCACAATAAGAGCTTCAGAAATGTTTATTGAATTAATAATTTCAGCTACTTTGGCAGTGCACCCTTAATCTGAGAAAAATTTTCAAGGGGGCTGGAGAATGCTCATGATTAAAGAGAAAGGTAAGATGTGGTATTTTGAGTTTTTGTTTGTTTTGAGTTTATTTTTGCACATGTACTTGCTGCGAGAAGAAAGTGGGGGATGTCTCTCCCAAGCAATATGATGAATGCCTCAATTGAGGATCTTGAATTAGGCGACTGATAAAATTCCTAACCAATATATTGTAAAGTGACATTTAATGTGTGTATTGCGGTGGGAAAGAAATGACAAATTGATTCAACTTTTTATTTTTTTACAACAGGGATCCATATGCTGATTTTGATATAATGTTGTCAGGCAAAATGTTCAAGTATTATAGGCAGCTAATTTAGATAAAAATTATTATGCAGTCAGAATGAGATTGGGCCCTTGGAAAGTCAGCACAGAAGATGAGACACAAAGATGGTGGCTGGTAGTGGATCTGAACAGCCAGATCTCCCTAGACATAAACAACTTGAGATTATATTGTAATAGGCACCATTTGGTCCAGGGGGCCCAGACAGGCACCAGACACATGGCATGTGACCAAAGCATCAGGACCCATACCCTCCTCCCTGCCCCAAAATGCCTTTGTTCTTTGCATGTACTCTTGCTATATGACTTGCTTCCTATTGAATCTCTATTAGCTAAGCGTCTATACTTGTAATCCTGTATTTTTATTGTAGCTTGACCCACGTTGAGATCTTGCTGTATAAATTACCTGTGACAAAGGGCCTCGGTGGCCATCCACTCAGGACCCTCTCCTGGAAACCCAAGACCTATTCCCCTTATTTCCAGTAAAACTCTCCTAATTCCTTCCTTTGGTTCAGGACTTCATTCTTCGATGTTCGGAGACCACGAACTCTGCATATCTAACAGGCTGGGAGTTGTATTTTTTTCTGTTTGCCTGAATCAGATGAACTTAAAACATGTTAAAACAAAACCCTGCCTTGAAACATGAAGCCAAGTCCGAGGCTGTGGGCTGCGGTCCAGTCCAAGTCCCTATGGGGTCGCAGTGGGGAGCGGAAGCCCCCAGCCTCCGCGAATTCCCAGACGACAGAGCTGAGAAGGCCTCCTGAAGACCCCCGGGCTTCCCTTGGGTCACTGGCTCGCTGCAGGGAGCGGGCAGGCGCCAGGTCCGGGGAGGGCGGCCCTAAAGCGAAGACCCAGAGTCGCAAGCCGTGAGCGCCCAACCTGTCCTGCAACCCGGAAGCAGATGCGGGCGGCGCGGC